GTCAGCTATGCTTTGAAAGGAAAATCCAAAGTTACACTTCAACACATTTTTATTACCTTATATTTTACTGCATTAAATGACCAAATTCATGATGGTGAAGTCCTAAAGCCTAATAAGATTTATGGGAAAAAACACTTCTATAGTGAATAAGGGTATATACACTATGTTTAATACTAATATCTAGTATCTAATGGTGGGGCATGCAATATTTACTCTAAACAAAAGTGGAGCCAGATTTCAAACTGTTAATCTTGTGCTAGTAGTTGTTGTGAATTTTGAATAGCAAACACCAAGAAAGAGAATCATTAGAGATAATTGTTTAGTGGTCCAAAACATGCATTGTTTCCATCAAATTCTACCTTTTTCCATTTATATATTAATTTATGTTCATTGCACAATGCTCAATGAATGTTAGATAAATAAACAATCTGGTTTTGTGGAAAAATATTACTTCTTCCAACAAAAAGGCTAATAAATAAGAAAAGACTAATAACATGCATAAGCAACATTAAACAATCATAGTTAAGGATTATGAACATGAAGAAAATAATTTACTCATGTTGTTATAAGAACTTACTTGGCTTAAAGGACTAAGATGAATCAATAGCTTATCTTCAGTTTTGTATCTGAATCTGTCTTCTATATGCAGTTTTTTCAAGGTTTGGACTTTAGATATGGGATGGTCAGCATAGGATGCAAGAAACATTGATATAATAATTAAATATAGGATGGTCCTACCAATATGTGATAATGCTACACATCAAATTATGCACGTTACATTAATTCAATTGTAATGAAATTGAATTGGACAGCAGAGAATGTGGAAATTTACATATATATATATATTAACTTCTTTATTACTTATTACTGTGTTTTGAAATTGTGGATTATTATATTGTTACTGTTGTTTTATTATTAGGTTATTACTTACTATATAAAAAGAAAAAAATTTGAAATACAATAATAACATAGACATACACGTCAATGATATTATTGAAAAATATATTTATATTATACAAACAATCCCTAATATTGTATTTCAATTTAAGTAATAATTTAATAATGGAAGAATTGAAATACATGGTAATTAATAATCAAATACATACAAACCATAAAAATAAATAACAATTAATACATACAAATTAATAGAAGTAAATCTAAAACTAAAAAAAACCCAGAAACTCTTAACAATTAAGGGAAATTACCTCATTCCCGTAAATTTTCAAAAAGTAATACTAAAGACATAATAAAGAAATCAACATACACCTATTATGTAAATTGATAAAGAAGTGTGACCAATCAGTTGGTGATGATATGCTGCAGTTGTTATGCTATCAGCAAAACAAGAGCCTTTTTCCACTTGGTTACATCACTTGTATAGACCAAACAAACAAAGCCATAATGATTTATCTTGAATCATGTCAATCGAGAGTTAGAATATCGATTAGAATATCTTACAAGATCTCTTAGTAGTTAATTTTTATTTTCTGTTTTTTTTATCTATTCTAATTAATTATGTCATTATTTTGTCTCTTGTCACTGCCATATAAATAAGACCAAATTATTGCATTTCTTTGAAAGAGTAGATTGTTATAGAATTAAAATCATTGGAATATTAGAGTGATTTAAAATTGCAAATAATTAATTTAATTCTCAATCCTCCAACTCAAAATAATTGTTGAAGGAAGCACCAAAACAATAGCAATTAAGCTGAGTAAACAGCAGAATATAACAATAAGTCATGTTTAGCAGAGAAAACCATTTGCAGAAGATGTGACTAGAACATGTGTAATGGTTAACTTACAAAATATTTCATCACATGCAACTATATATGCTGCTACCAAGTTCTACAAATTTGAACTTCCAAAGTAAAACTTGCCCTTAATCTAATGCAACTATAGGTTATAGTTTAATATGAGCTTAGTTCCATTTCTTATTTGCACAAATCAAATACTCCCTCTACTTGTGCTCTTTATTATAACATATATATGTATGAAAAACAACATATGATAAACCATATTTATCACTGGCAGCCACCGGGTGCAAATCCAATCTTGGAATTGGCAACATCATAAGCCACCTTAATAGTTTGTTGCTGATAATTGCCAATAATGACAATAGGGTTAAATCCAGAGCTACCAGAAAAAGCTAAACAAGTGGTTCCATTCTTAATTTCTATAAGGGTATTATGAGCCTTAAGTGATAGGTCAGCACCCCCTTGAAATATAAGCTGAACTTCAGGCACTGCTTCTGACATAGTTTTGACACTACCCTTAAAACAAGTATCCAATATGGAAACTCCTGGTAACTGTGCAAACTTCTTTGATATGATCTTAACAAAAGCTTCTTTCAGTGCTGTATAAACAGGCATAGGTAGCCTTGTAATTACTGTACCAGAGTCTATGATTGTAGGTACCTTGTAACTTGATGCAGCCACTCCTATTGGGATTCCTGCCACAGTGATGGAAGTTAAATCAATGAAGTATAAGCTTTGCTTATTTGGAAACTTAACCAATGAAGTGAACTTATATGATGATGATGACGATGATGTCAATGATGAGGTTCCGATGGACAAGAAACCTTCCTTGGAACTCGATGCCGAAAAAGATGTTGGAAGACAATAAGAGAAGGCATTGCCATATTTGTTTGACAATTGTGCAAGCATGGATAGATTGTCATTTCCTAGGCCTAAAATGCCTGCAGCCTTTCCAAACAACCCTTGATTGTCCTGTCCACAGCCATATACGAAACTCGATAGCGTCTCGGACGGAGTTAAGGTTAGCACATCTTGACTCAAATAGCCAAATGAGAAAGAGGAATCACCATAGCTTGCTGAGTAAACACATGTACCAGTTTTACTTGAACAACCTGGATCATTGAGTGTGGAGCCCTTGAGAGAGGAACACTGAGGAGATGAACATGGAAAAGTTCTGTAGGTCTTAGATGTGGAAGAGTTGAATAAAGGGTCAACCTGATCATGGCAATATACTTTACAAGGCTGGCATTGGAGCCAGGAAAGGGAGCTACCAGTGTCTATAATCATGCTAAAATATTGAGCAGGGGTTCCAAGTCCTATTCTCACATAATAATTTCCTGAAGCAAGTGATAGTGCTGATTTCAAGGGTATGCTTACAGGTTTTGGACCCCTCACTTTATCTGAAGAGGAAGTAGTACCTGAAATTCTGACATCCTCTTTGTTATCTAATCTTGATTTAAGGTATCTGACATGTTCCTCATCTTTTTTGAACATGTCAGAGAATGTAAATGGTGATGTGGATTTTGTAACATGATATAAATCAAGGTACATGCCATCTTGTTTTTTGTTCCTCAAATCATTATCTGCAAAATGGACACTTCACTTGTTTAATGTTAGCAGGATTTCATAATCATTGTAATGTTGAAAAAGAGATTTATAAGGTTGGTTTCTTTAATTAGGTACCACTGATTAATATTCTAGTAAGTTAAACACTGCATCAACAAGGAAACTAAATAATTATGTAGCACCATATTACAATCTAAATAGGAAACTATTGCAGGCATAAAATTAAGAATCAGCTATGAAGTTATTGTGATACATGCCTTCAAATTTCACAAGAGAAGAAGCTATTGCAAGATGTGCACAGAAAAGTAGAAGCCAAAACAAGCTCATCTTGTACACACAACTTCACTGGCTCTCAAAATTTGGTTATGTTGCAGCTTTTTACTCTTCTCTCAGCAGATATATGTTACACTAATGCTCTGTTCTCAGGTCCACCGACATTTACCATTATTAGTGAGGCACTGACTCTATTCTCTAGTAGAGTCTTGACTAAGTTACATCGTATCGTGGTTCGTATCGGTTGGTCACTTTTTATATTATTATTACAATACTTCTTTTATAATGAACCCGGTACATAGTACACTTTACGTTGAATTCGGTACGTGGTATGTAATGTAAACGAGTAAACTATGTAACTATTATATAGGACTGATAGATATATACAGTCTTATCCCATAAGCAGATAGTGACTATTTTCGGGATTTAAATTCGTGAATTTTTGATGACCCTCTTTTGTACAAATGAATTAATGATCATGTGTAGTGTGGGGCCAAAGGTCAAAGGAGTGTCTTGCATTATGTACATAACAGTGAGTGCATTAAATATCCTTACAACTTGTATACGTGAATAGTGATGGAGAAAGAGAAAAAGTAGGGGGATACAGCATGGTTGTTACAAGTTACAACAATATCATAAATACTAAGTAACTTTATAAACTATGGTAATAATATCATTAAGCTTTCTTGGTTGAATAGTGGAAAGTGAGAGGTAAGAAAAAGTATATATTTTTATTGTTTGATATGAGAGAAAAAGAAAAATAAAACAACAAAAAGAGATATAAGAAGGTATCTTAAAAACATAAAAGTTAAGGGATAGTTTTGTCATTTCAGTCCCAATTACCTTCTTATCTAGAGAAAGTTAGTTTTTCTCTCTTATCTAAACCATATAACTTAGTTCCCGGACCTATGGTTTAATACCGAAATTCTCTTATTTTTCTATTCAACCAAAGATAGGTATACCTGCAACTATAAAAATGAAAAGGATAAATGAAGGGCAACCTTGTCATTAGAGTGATATGAAGCAGAATTACCAAAAGGTTATTTTGGAAGGTGGTGAATTTAACAAGTATAATAATCACACAGTGGCAAATAAGGTGGAGTGGTTAGGAGTTGACACAATGTTAGGTAATTATATGCTCAAAACTAATGATAGAGACATGCAACTATAGGATGGACCAGCCATTATCACTACCTATTTTAACAACAACTTAGGCCTGCAACCTTATTTTTGTCTGCTGCTAAACATTCATAGGCTATCAGTTACATAAAAGTTGTACACTTTTACTAATACAACCACCACAGTAGATCCATGACCAATTGAGCAACATTTGTAGTTTTCTTTTCATTTTAAGGTAACAAAACAGTATACATAGTGAACATTCTTTTAAATTGTTGTTGGGATTATGGTTAATGTGATTATGGTCGTTGTTGTGTGAATTTTGTGATTCAAATAAGATTTTAAATTTGATGTGGCATGATGCAGTTTAATGCTGCCAAATGCGGTCCCCTAGGTCATTTCAATGTGATTCGGTGTCATGCCACAATTGCAGTATAATGTGATTGTGGTGGTCATCACAACCACAATATTGCAACCATATTACATGATGTGACCCACAATTTGAATAACTGATAACCAGTATTAGATAAAAGATGAAGTTTGTGCTAAACAGTGGATGCTGATATAATACTTTATTGAATCTATACAAGTTGTTGTTTAAGGTAAGAAAGAGAAGTTTTTACTACATTGGGTAATAATAATCCTTTTCTCCCTGGTTCCCTTATTTTCTGTCTAAATTTGAATCTGTGTTAAGAAAGCTTCACTCTCTGAATTGTTTAAGGTAAGAAAGAGAAGTTTTTACTACATTGGGTAATAATAATCCTTTTCTCCCTGGTTCCCTTATTTTCTGTCTAAATTTGAATCTGTGTTAAGAAAGCTTCACTCTCTGAATGGATTTTTTACATTAATTTTATGAGACTTTTTTTTTATGATGAACCAAATAATTTTATCTCACTTCTTTATCAATTTCTTGAAGCCTCAATAGTTTGGAGAAGAATTCACAACACCAAAATGGTAAAAAGAAGAAAAAAAAGCAGGGAAGAGAAGAATAAATGTTGAGCTACTGAGCTCTATACACAAATTATTATTACACATGGGCAACAACACAATCCTTTTTCAACTTCTACAGCAACCCAAAAAAAATTGCATTATGAACAGTCAAAAACTGTGATCCTCCCCCTTTTCTCAACAAATGGTAAAAAGAAATGAATCTGCAGGTCCTGCACTTAGTTTCACCGCGATGAGCAGCAGTCAGATATGTTGGTATTATCCACAGTTCACTTATGTGGACTCGCAATTGAATTATCGGTAACTTGTTCTGTATTCTTATGGCAAACTGAATGAAGTTGGATTAGCTGGCTCCTTAAGGTACACTCCTCCATCTGAAAATTAGAGCAGCTTAAAGATATAAAAAAACTGTTCGGGATAAATAGTACGTACGCTACAGATGACAGTAGTATTTAGCCATTATCTACAATGAAGATGGCAGGATTGTTTGAAAGACAAACCTGTGACTTGTGTGCCTTTGACAACAAATCTCCACATTCTCCAACAATAGCTTTTTCTCCACCAGCAACTCTGGCTAATTCCGAAATAGAAGTATCCGTTTCTTCTGCCTGTGTTTCACAAACTTTATTAGTATAGTATTGAAAAGACATCTGTTTCCACACATTATGACAAAAAGCCTTTTTCCACTGAGTCAGATTTGCTACATGGATCAAATGATGCTATTGTGTGTTGCCAAAATCCATTTAGATCTGTTTCCACATACTTATTTATTCGAAGTCCGACCATTGATATGTTTATTCACCAATATTGTCAAAGAAACTTATTTTTGACCCCTAGTGTCTACATAACTAAGTGAACAAAACTGACTAAATGAGAAACACCTATAATCGGAGGGGAAGCAGGACAAGGAAGACTTTTTACTAGAAAGTTATTGTCCAATTCAAGTTCCTGTAAACTTAAGACCGCAATAGACAAAATTGATGGCTTGAAGGAAGACAAGTGCATTTCCTAACAGCTGAATAGATCCATTCATTCATTTGTCTCACCTTTGGCATGAATCTTTGGATATGGAAAAAAATTGATTCCATCATCTTTAATGCTGAATTTAGTGCCTCCTCCATCTCTCCTACATCAACCTGTGGCGTGATACAGTTTGGTTAGTATACAATCCCAACGAACAAGCATAACAGGAAGACACACAATTCACTTGTCTAGATAATCAACAAACATGAGAAGAGGATTAATAATCATACCCTAACATTCCCTCCAGTTGGAAGTTGCACTAAGGCATTCATCAAACCCTGAATTGTATCAGTAATAGAGACTGAATAATCTTCTTCCAGAGCAGACCACTCATCCAGATAAGGAATCTGTAATTTTTATCCAACAAAATACTCAAATTACTGATATTACTAGGCTCATGTGTTTGCTAAAAATGAGGCATAAAATGAAATTAACTTTTTTTATGCGTATGATAAGTGAATAATTTATTTTGATCAAATAAAAGGATGATTAAAAAACCATACATGAAGGAAGAATGGCTGCTTCTTACTTTAAATGACTAACAAAACAAAAGGATCATCATTACGAAAGTTTAAGGTTAGTTTAGTTAGGATAGTAAAAGGAATCACAATTGTCTTAATTCCACTTTAAGATAACTTAGTAGAGGCGGTTATGTTGAAAGTAAAAGGATATAGATTTCAATATTGATACCACGAGAATAGCAATAATAAATCCAGGTATAAAAATTCTTATCATAAACAGGAAAGGATTGATCTGTGCACAACTTGAACACAACTGTAAAAGAAGTATTCAAAAGTATTGATGGCCTTACTTGAGCTTCAAGAATTTTTGACACTGTCTGCAAGCTTTGCAACAGCCCCAGTTCTATGCATTTCATGTTCACAGAATCACGCAACTCTGATAGTTTCATTACAAGAGAATATAGTGCTTTCTGCAAGGATTAAGAAAAACAAAGAGTAACAAGATTGTACAAGGTTGTCCAAGATTGTATATAACCTACATCTGAACCAACTGAAATGCTGAGTGGATGTAAACTTAACAAGGGTTCTGAATATGGTATGAATGTAATATTTGTAATTGTAATTATCTAAAAGTCGTTATGAATGTAGCTTTTGTAATTATCTAAAAGCCATCTTAACTTCAGTAAAGTGTAATTTGAAATTTGAGGTTTGAAATGAATAAATTACATGACCCCATGAATGAAGATGTGATATTCGGTGTACACTCAAAACTAAGCTATTTGATATTCTGTTCTACACCTAGGACCAACAAAGCTATATTTTTTTTTCACTTTCAAAGATTGTGCCTGTCAAAAGGTCCAGAGAAGTAATATGTTAAATCTTTCAAACTACAGTTAATGTCATTGTAGCATTTCCTTCATGTTCGTTCTGCGGTGTAATTAAACTAGAGATCCACCTTCATGTTTATGATCAAACAACAGTGACAACCAAGCCTTTTCACACTAGGTGAGGTCAGCTAGCTACATAGATCAAACGACACCTTAATGTTCTACCACCTACCATAAACTATGTCAATAGATAAACCATTTAAAGCTAAACCCTTCTTATGATAAAACAACCTCCCCTATATGCCTCTTGTTCTATCCACAGAATTATAAGTATACAACTGTCTACTAAGATAATTTTGTTTTTTTATTGCACTATATATTTGTTCATAGGTACGGAATAAAAGTTAAAGATTGACCTCGCTTCCTCTTTGCTGAGATTTCATCGTAGCCGCGGCTTTTGCATTGGCGAATCTCCATTGCAGATGGCGGTTATAAAGCAATCTCATAGAATGCACATCATCCAGATGACTAGAACCTTTCCTCCCTTTCCTTGTATCATTCACCTGTTTTGCACAAGGATGTACCGGTGGCAAAGAAAGCCCTCCTGCCTTAACATGATTGGTTTGATTTCCACACTGCTTGGATAAAGAACAAGCTTGCTGCTTCTCACTCCCTTTTACTGAATTAACAACTAAATGCTCACTTCCCGATGAAGTTGGAAAACTGATCGAACGAGACAAAGGTGTACGAAATTTCAAATCCCCACTACTACTCAAACCACTCCTATAGCCAATTTTTTCAACCACTGATCTAGTGGACACAGTAGGCAACAAATCTCCCTGAGAACACAATTCAGGAAGTGACTGTATACTACAACTTACATCCGAATCGTGACATTCATCATCCGAATATACCGATCCAGTGTCTGAATTGGTTTCAACTTGAGACAAACCAGAAATTATTATAGCACTGAGCTTGAGTTGATGATTATTGGACATTCCACTTGCTTGCAACAACTTAGCAGCAGCAGAAGCATTTCCATTGATATTAGCAGAAGTTCTATGCTGCTGATTAATCCTATATCTTGAAGAAACATTGAATGTTGGAGTATCAGGCCTAGAAGAAGGGGTAGCAAAAACATTGTTCACACCAATTCCAATTCTACTAGAACATGATTTTGAAGGGTGTGGTGGAGGAACATGTTCAACTCTTCCAATTCCATTGCTCTCTTTGAAAAGCTTAACACTACGTTGCTTCATCCGATTCATGTTGCTGGTGGGTCCCAGATTAGGTTTACAATGAGAATTGGAATTCCCATTTGTGAATGGGGTTTCTGAATTCTCAATGGGTCTATTGTTCTCATCTGCTTCTAATTGCTGATGGCGCCGTCGCTGCACGGTGGAAACCGACGGCGACATGAATCTGGAACTAACCTCCCTAACCCTAGGCCGGCGGTTATGAGAAGGAGTCGGCGGTAGAGGCGGTGGAGGAACGGAATCGGTGGTATCGGAAATGGGGTTTTGTGAAACAGTGATATGTTGTTGAATCATGGTGTCACAAACTTGGACCATTGAATTGAAAAGAATAAGAACAAGAAATGAATGATTGTGTTGATTTGTGAACGATGAAACCGATAAAGATGAAGACTTTGGGGAAGAAGGAAATGTGGGTGGATCAGAAACAAAGGTTTCGAGTGATGAATGAACGAGGAAGATGTTATTGTGTGTGTTCTGTTGGGGGCAAGGGAAAAGTAGCCGTTGGGGATTATTTGTGCATTTTAATTTGCAAGGGTTATAAACTTTAAAATGAAAATGAATAATTACTTTATGCTAAATTATTAACTAAAATATTTTTTTCTTGTTAAACATAATTGTGTATTAATACACCCAATTATCACACTCTCCAGTCGCGATTATGGTAACAATTACGTTTATTGAGATTGTGGTCATTGTGGCCGTTGCAATGTATACTTGACTATTTCGGTGTGAATTATTTTTGCCATTAAAACAATATTTTTGAATCTGATGTGGTCCAATACGGCCTGATGCGGTCCAAATGTGGTTCAATGTAATTGCGTTGCAGTTCAATGCGATTACATCATTATGATTCGGAGTTACACCACAGTATGATACAGTTGTGGTGGTCAGCCACATAAAAAGTGATATGGTCTGCAATTTAAATCACTACCTCAAATTTTCAGAATTACCCTAACTTACAATTTTCTATTCAAGTCAAACTTTAATTACTTAAATTAATATTATAAAGAATTATGACTATTAAAAAAATATGATTTAACTTAAATTATGACTATTTTCCAAAAACTTTTATGATTTTATTTAAATTTTGTGAACAAAATTTGAGGGAGCTCCACGAAATGGCTTTAATTTTAAAAAGCATGGTCTGATTATCATTTTCATATATAACATATCACCACAATCATGTTTTTATTATTCCATAGGCTGAACATAAGTGGTGAGTGTGGTTAGTCTAATCATTCCTAAGGAGAGATTAGTGAAGTCATAGTTTATTAGTGATATGAGGGTAGTTAGTGGGTATTGCCAAATAAAAGATTAAACTAATCATAATTGATTATTGGTGAGGGTTCCTTAGTGAATCATTCTCAACAATAAGAGATTAATCTATTAATAGTTGATTAGTGGATCATTCTCAAGGATGAGAGATTAATGTAATACAATGTCAAAGCTTTTGGCTACAATGGATGCACTGACTAATGGTCATTTGCTGGTAAAGGAAAAATGGGTCATGTAACAGTTTATTACTCAATCCATCACTCTTCTGTGTGAGCCTCAGCATCATATAACAGAATGAAAACTTCTCATATGCAGAAAAACCAGAATTCAGT